ACACTTAAACCTAATCTAAAGAAACTGCAACCCCCCTCCCCGACATGTGGCTCAAGTACAGTAAGAAAGTAGGGTGACATTATAAATGAGCTTGCACAGAGTATCACTCTCTATCTACACAATCCTTCCTGATTTGCTTGCTGAAAACACAGCTTCTAGGGCTGGTGCTGTGGTGTAGCGGGTAAAGCCACCATCTGCAGTGCCGCCATCCCATATGGGCACTGGTTCGAGTCCCGGCTGATTGGATCTTCCACAGCCAAGTCTCAAGCTTCTTCTTCTCTCCTCATTGATGGAGACACTGGGGCACGGCTGGCAAGGCTCTGTGGGAACAGACACACAGCACACAGGGAAGGGCTGCTGGCCAGCATGAGGCCAGGGCCCGCATCAGCAGTCAGTGCTGAGGGCTCCGGGCCCAGCCCCCAGCCCTTCCCAGGTGATGTCCCTGTGAGCCTGTGCAGGGGGCACCTGTGCCCGACCATCATCCCCCAGGCCTCGCCATCCTTGTGAGCTGGGAAAGAGGATGGGGGCATCACAACAGCTCCTCAGACAGGAGCAGAGGGTGACACTTGCCCAAGAGACCAAGAGCCCCATGCACTTGGGGAGGGGTGAGGGAAGAGTGGGGCCCACTGCCCGGACATGGCCCATGGCCACCTTCCTGTGTTTGCAGACTGACCCCCAGGATAGGACCGCGCTGTGTGATTCTGGCCAGGAGATGACCGGATGGGGCTGAGGAGATGGGGTGGGGGAGGAAGGGGACTGGGGGCTGCACCTGCTCAGCTACTCTGAGGGTCTTCAGGCTGAGATGCAGTAGCAGGAGGCACGGTGCCCAGTGTGACACTGAGAGCGCATGGCACAAACCGGCCTGGTCTGCATTCATGCTGGTGCTCTCTTGCATGGTGGGGGGGGCCCACTGTTTGTGCTCCCCATGGAGGGTGCTCTGGCTGAGAGTTCCCAAAATTCTTACCTAGCTTCAGGGTCACCCAAGAGCCCCCAAGCAAGGTGGGGCTGAGCCCTGTAAGCTGCCTCCCCTTCCCCCACTGCCCACCCAAGCTGGGGCTGGGACCCTCCCTGCGAGGTCTGGGCACAAAAGCAAGGCTTTGCTTGCTGTCACGTTTCTCCCTCATTCGACCACACAAAAATTTCTGTTTCCTTCCAGAAATCACTTTTTCTTCGGCCCCTCGTACACACATAGGCTAATGTCTACCTAGCTTTAACCGGTTGGGAATTTTACTTTGGAAAAATTAAAACACTTTGGAATTGTGAACGTGCTTCAAAAAGTTATGCATGGTTTTTCATAATACACATTTTCATGAACCTTTCAATAAAAGATTTGAGAGAGAGAGAGAGAGAGGAGAGAGAGAATCTTCATCTGCTGGTTCACTCCCTAAATGGCAGCAACAGCAAGGGCTGGAACCAGGAGCCTGGAACTCCATCTTGGTCTCCCACATGGGCGGCAGGAGCACAAGCACTTGAGTTATCATCTGCTGCTTTCCCAGGCCATTAGCAGAGAGCTGGATACAAAGTGGAGCAGCCAAGACTTGAACCACTGCCCCAGTGTGGGATGCCTGTGTCCCCAGTTTAATCCCCTGCACCCCACACTGGCCCTTTTTGTGAATTTTCTGAAGATCCCTCATATGTGTTATTTCAAAATTTTTGCAAAATAAATTTATTTTGTCATAGTTTACACTTGTCTTTTGAAGTACCCTCACACCAACGGTGTGCTTTTAGGTTACAGAATTTCACTCCAGTTGAAGAAAAAAGGAAGAACAAAAAGAAAAGAAAAAAGCAAAATAAAAGGGAGGGAGGAGAGAAGGAAGTGAAAGAAGCCAACACCTGCCATCTGTGGGTGGGGTGAGGTTGCCAAGCCAAGCAAACCTCCCAAGCAGCAGCTGCACAGGGCCACTGGCTCCTTGGTGCTCTCTGCAGGAGCGTGTGTGTCAGTGCACTGGCCTCCCCCTGAGCCAATGCCACCTTTGCCTGTGTCTCCTGCTCTCTCCTACCCCTGCTCTGGCCTGGGTCCCAGCTTGCCCACTCCCTGAGCAGGTGGTTTATGCCTTTTTTCTCTCCAAGAGCCTGTGAAGAGAGCTGGACCAGGCTTTCTCCCATAGTCCCTCTGTCCTACAAACCTGAGCAGCCCATTGGGCTGACCAAGGGGTGGGTCACTGTCCTCCTTTTCTCACCTTCCTTCCCACCATCCTTTCCCATGGCCCCTGCCACCTTGTGCACTGTGTTTCCATCCCTCCAGCATCAACAGTGGCATTGGCTGTACTCAAGGGTACGCAGGTCACTACCTGGGACCCCAAGGTCTCCTCCTGAGGTTGTGTAAGACCTGCTTACAGCAGTTTGCAGACGTGCACTCCTCCTAACTCCTCAGTGCTCTGTGAATCCCTGTGCTCAGGGGCCTGTCTCATGAGCGGGGGTGCCACAGAGGGTGAGGCCGAAGTTGGGACTGGGCAGGGGACGGACCCAGGTCCTGCAGGGTGAGGGAGGCAGCTGAGTGGTTTGGGGCCCCTGCTGTGAGTAGAGGAGGACTTCAAGTGCATGAATGAAATGAATAGGGTTGGGTAGTTTTGTAACCAATACTAGTAATTCGGAGAATCTTCATGTCAGGTGTACGACTGCCTTGGAATGCACTAGAGACAGTGGACAAAAGTAGCTCTGGCTGCAGCACTGTGAAGGAGCTCAAGCCCCTTCCTCCTCCCCTGCCCCTACCCCCACCCTGCCCCATGGAGGGGAAAGAGGAGGAAGCTCCCACTAACAGCAGGCCCAGGAGGCTCCTTTCAGGCTGCTGAGCAAGAGAGGTGTGGCCCTGGCCAAGAGGAGGCAGAAAGTTGCAAAATCATAGACTGCGTGGGGCAGATGACACCGTGAGAGGGTGACAGATATGCTCCTCCTGTGCCCCATGGAGTCGCATGGATGTTGGGTGCTGGGATGAAGTTGTGGGTGGTAAATGAAAGTCTTCCATGAGAAATCAAAGTCCCTATTCTGCCCCAGTCATAGGCAAAGGCTCAGAATCAGTCCTCACCCAAGAGCAGGAATCAGACATCAAGAATTGATCTACATCCTTCTGTCTATACCTGTATCTGTCTATCTCCATCTGTCATCTGTCCATCAATCAATCAATTTCTATCTGCATAGCCTATTTGTCCATCAATCAATTTCTACCTGCATAGCTTATCAATTGTCTATCTACCCACCTATCTCTATCATCTATCCATCTCTGTGCACAATCTAGCTATATTCTCATTTATCACCTAGCTCTATCATCTATCTATCTATCTATCTATCTATCTATCTATCTCTATCTATCATCTCTCTGTCTACCTATCTCTATCATCTATCAATCATTCTTTCCCTGCATCTGCACATTTCTATCATCTACCTATCTATATCTGTGTCTGCCTATCTCCATCTGTCATTCCCTGCATCTGCCTGTCTCTCTCAATCATCTATTTATATCCACCTATCTCTATCATTTATCTTTTTTAAAAGATTTATTGATTTGAAAGTCAGAGTTACACACAGAGAGAAGGAGAGGCAGAGAGAGATAGAGAGTCTTCCATCCACAGGTTCTCTCCAATTGGCCATAACGGCTGGAGCTGCACCAATCTGAAGCCAGGAGCCAGGGGCTTCTTCCGGGTCTTCCACGTGGGTGCAGGGACCCAAGGAATTGGGCCATCTTTCACTGCTTTCCGAGGCCATAGTAGAGGGCTGGAATGGTAGTAGGGCAGCCAGGGCTCTAACTGGTACCCATATGGGATGCTGGCACTGCAGGCGGCTGCTTTACCCACTATGCCACAGCACTGGCCCCTCTATCATCTATCAACCTACATGTGCCTGTCTCTATCATCTATCATCTATCTACGCATTTATCTACCTACAATGTGCCTCTATTGTAATCTATCTACCTACCTAATCATCTGTCATCTAGATATCTTATCACCCATCATCTATATCGTTTACATCATCTATCACCTATATGTCTACAATAGCAGCCTATGGTCCCAAACATGAGCCCACAGAACTTCCAATGAGCACACACATGATACAGGACCCAGTGTAGTTCAACAGAGCAGAGAAACAAGAACTGTCAAAGATTCTCCTGAAAAATATGAGGAAAGGGGCTGGTGCTGTAGTAGTAGGTAAAGCTGATGCCTGCAGTGCCAGGATCCCATTTGGACACCGGTTCGAGTCCCAGCTGCTCTACTTCCCCTCCAGCTCTCTGCTATGGCCTGAGAAGGCAGTAGAAGATGACCCAAGTCCTTGAGCCCCTGCACCTACGTGGAAGACCCGGAAGAAGATCCTGGCTCCTGGTCAGATTGGAGCAGCTCCAGCTGTTGCAGACATTTGGAGTGAACCAGCAGATGGAAGACCTCTCTGTCTATACCTCTGCCTCTCTGTAACTCTACCTTCAAGTAAATACATAAAACTTAAAAAAAAGATTGTGGAAAGACCCCTGATGGCACAGCTTCCTGATGGCTCTGATACACTACTGTTGGTGGGGTCAGTGTCTGGAGAGTAGCAGGGCTCTGTGGAAAGCAGGCCAGACTTTGCAGCATGGGACTGAAGGTCCTGGGAGAGGAACCATGTGGTGCTCAGGAGCTCGCTGGAGCTGACACTCGTGTTTGAAGGCTTGGGGGTGTCTGAGATGTGGGAAGGCAACTCTGTCCTTACAGCAGGACAGAGTGCAAACACTGGTTCCATCTCAGAGACCTTGACTAGGGAGCACTGTCTGAGCAAGGGAACAACAAGGACCAGACCTGACTCAGGATGGAGGGCCCCTTTTGGAGTGGAGAAGACCCTGGCCCAGGCTGGGGCTTCCACGAGTCACTCAAACTCCAGGTGATGCCATGACCTTGCCACGAGTTCCACCATTCAATCTCTAAGAAAAGGAGGTTTAGAATCCAACTGAGTGTCCTTCCCTTCAACCTGGGATCCTGACCCCATCCAGGTCTCCCAGGCACTGAGGGATGGGGCTGTGTTTGCGTAATTGTGTACAGTCAAGGGTATGGCATTGGGGCAGGAGAGGAAGAGTCAGCAGCACAGAGGGGCTTGGGAGCTCTTCCTGCTGGAAGGGGTCCATGTACTGAACCTGGAGGAAGTGACCTCACTTCCTTGGTAACAGGCCACAACAGAACATGGAACTCTGGTAACCAGGCACCCACATTCTAGTGGTAGCCATTGCCAGCTCACTTGATGGGAAATGTTGGAGGCAGAAAAATGTTCTCTTGCTGCTTCTTATCAAGGTGAGGCTCTCGCCGAATGAAAACCCAGAATGAAGGTCCCTTCCAGCGTGTAACATGCTGGCTAAGCTCTCACTATGGACACCTGTGGCCATGGAGGAGGAGGCAGCCACAGGTATAAGGGCAGCCCTGGGAAGTCCCGTCCAGGCCTGGAGTCTGGTGACCCTGCGTGGGCTGTCCTCCTGACACCATGAAGGGGACAAGAGGAGGAGCCCTTCCTGCACAGCAGCAGGATTCAGGTGTTGGAGGATGGCTGTGGTGTCATCTGTACCCATTCCAGGGATGGCAGATGGGAAAGTGAGTGTTGGGGGACATTTTGTCTACTCAGAGGTTATACCTGCGTTCTCCTGTGTCACCTGGAGCCCTCCTGGCTGGGGGGGGTATATGCAAATGTCTCTACATATCTGATCTGGGGAGTGGAAATACTCACAGGGGTGTCTCCTGTGGGACACTAACACCTTCTGGCCTGGTTGCTGGGTACTCTGTTTGCAGGGCTCCATGCTGGAGATCAGCAATGATTCCCATGAGGAACTAATTTTCTTAGGCAATGGACAGGTGCATCAGGTCAACAGCCATGGACAGTGCTGGACTGGGCTGGGCTGAGGGAGGGGCCTAGGGAGATACACAGATGGGGACTCAAGATGACCAGGCTGGGCCCAGGACCACAGCCTGGATATAGGCACCTTCCCGGGCCCCATCCTGATGTTTCCCACCTGAGTGACTGGCCCCAGTCTCGTTCCAAAGAGATCTCGCTCCTCGCTGCCCACTGACAGCTGGGTTATGGCAACCCCATGTCAGGTAGAGGTGGGATTATCAGGGCACAGGTGAATACTGGTTCCATGGACACAAATCCAAGAGCATCCATGTGTGGGATGGCACTGTTTTCCCACCCAGCCTGGGAATCCCGGGCAGCGGTCAGCTCCGCTGCCCATCCAGAACTCCCCACGACCAATGATGGAGAACCCAAAGCCCATATGCAGGAGTGAGGCTAACACTAAAGAGAGAGAGAGAGCCCCCACCCATCTCCATCCTGTTCCATGAGAAAGGACATTTGTCCTGCAGCTCAGCTGGGATTTCAGCACTGATCCCTGGCTGTGTCCTGCAGCTCAGCTGGGATTTCAGCACTGATCCCTGGCTGCCCTGCTGGCAGTCACAGCCCAGGGCCCCACACGGGGGCAGCTCTCACACAGGATTTTGCACATAGCACTGGGGGCTGCATGTCCCCGTGTCTCCTGCTTGTACATGTCCATCTCTGTTCCCGTGTTCTCCTGTGCTTCTCTGTGTCTGTTCCCGTGTTCTCCTGTGCAGAGTGGACAGTGAGAGAGAGAGAGACAGAGAGAAAGGTCTTCCTTTGCCGTTGGTTCACCCTCCAATGGCTGCCGCGGCTGGTGCACTGCGGCCGGTGCACTGTGCTGATCCAATGGCAGGAGCCAGGTACTTATCCTGGTCTCCCATGGGGTGCAGGGCCCAAGGACTTGGGCCATCCTCCACTGCACTCCCGGGCCACAGCAGAGAGCTGACCTGGAAGAGGGGCAACTGGGACAGAATCCGGCGCCCCGACCAGGACTAGAACCCAGTGTGCCTGTGCCGCAAGGCGGAGGATTAGCCTAGTGAGCCACGGCACCCGCCCTCTGTGTCCTTGTCCCCTCTCCTTATCAGCATGGCAGAGCTGGGGCCCACACCAATGGCCTGGCCTAACGTCCATCACCTCCTCAGGAACACACGTGCACATGCAGCCACACTCAGGGACGCAGGTGTCAGAGCGTCACCGTCACTCTCACAGGAGCTAATGCCCTGCTGAGACAGAGGCCCAGACAGCACTTGCTGGGGAGAGGGGCTGAGGTGTCCCCATAGGGCAGCCATGGTCAGATCACTGTGCAGAAGGGCTGTGGCTTGTACACCGCTAGCTGCCATCTCTGCACTGCTGCTCCCAGCTGCTGGCCTCCCTCGGGGGTAATACTCTGCTCTCCCCACTCTCCCATGCTTCTCTCCATGTGGCCAACAAAGTCACTCTGGGCCTTTCATTCCTAACCCCCCACGGATGTGAGGGGTCACCTGTTGCAGCTGGATGCCCTCTGTGAGGGGGTCTTCTTCCAGCCCAGACTCCCATGGTTGGGGGTCCCTGGAGCCGCCTCTGACTCTTATCCCTGCTGGTCCTCCCTAGTTTGGAGGTGCATCCACACTGCACCTGGCAGAGGTCTGCTCCCTATGGAGCCTGCAGCCAGGCACCAGGGCAAAGTTGGAGGAGTCCCTGGTCCCAGCCTCCCCAGGAAGAACCATCGCTTACTTGTCCACTCTGCTGTGCTCATATGGCGACTTCAGCACTGTTCCGTATTTCCTGGACCAGATATTCCATAGGTGAGCATCTGTGCCCTCCAGGCACACGGGGCCTCTGCCACTCACTAGCCGTGGCTCTCTGCCTGCCTGCTCCTCTGAGAAGTGGGGTGGTGTGATTGTGAGCCTCAGGGGTTGTACAGGCACCGTGTGACTTCAGACATGGCAGGGGTCCTGATGCCTGCTCTGTGGCCAGGGCTGCTGGGGCTGTGCTCATCCCTCTTCTGGTCTCTGCGCCCTCGGGACTCAATAGCCCATGGCCTTCTACATTTGGAAAACCCCACAGAGAGCAGCCCTGCCTTCCCATCTGTAAAGGAGGCCTCCCAGCCCCAGTCCCTGATACAAACAGAGCAGGGCCTGGGCACTGGGTATGGGGCCCAGGCCCCTCAGCTCTGTGGCAAGGGGCCGTGTGTGGTTCATCCCCACAGCACGTGAATGTTAAGTACTCTGGGCAGTCACTTTACAGACACTTGTCACAGCTCAGTGAGCAAAGCAGACAGCATAAACAGGGCCTCTTGACCTGGGAGGGCCCAGACTCTCCCAGCTGAACGCCTGCCCGGGTCCTGTCCACAGGGTCAGAGGGGAGAGGATGCGTCCTCTCATGGTCTTGCCAGGATGTCAGAGCCCAGGCCCCACTAGGATGTCATGGACTTTGGGTCCAGACAGGGGCCTTCTGTCCCTGCAAACTGTGGGAGCAAAATGTGGGCTGTGGCTGGGGAGGGACAGACAGGGTGTGGATCTCTCACTTCCTGTTACTCCTCTGAGAGCACCAAGGCCTGGGGACTCCCCACAAAGGAAAGGAGAACAGAACTGGGAATGGGGTTCCAGACCTGCAAAGGAGAGGGGAGGCTGGGGCGCAGAGCAGCCAGGGGTCCATTCCCAGGACAGGTGCTTCCCAGCTCTGCCCATGCTCCCCACTCCTACCCCAGGAGGTCCAGACCTGCAGAGATCCTGAGAAACCTGCTCCTAAGTCTGCCCAGAGCCTTTGTGCTGAGCACTGGGGGCCCTCCCCTCAGGGAAGAAAGTCACTGGGAGGCTGTCACCACGGGGTCTGACCAGCCTGTTGACCAGGTCTGCCACTGCCAGGGCAGCCCAGGAGGGCTTGGGGGGTGGGGTCATGCTCTGGACAGGAGGAGGCATGCCCAGGGCTCCAGAGCCACAGAGGGGCCCCTGGCAGTGCAGTGTGGCAGCCAAGGCCAACCTCTGACCCCGCTGCCCTCACTTGTGTCCCCAGCAACATGGCTTCCTTCCTGGGATGCTGCAGAGACCTGTACAAGGCAGAGCTCCATGGTCACACCAGCCTTCCACTGCTGAAGATGAAGGTGGGCTGCAAGCCTGTCAGCCTGCCTGGAGGAGACCTGGGGACCCAGGTGTACTTTCTGTATGCCCTGCCCGTTCATGCCCAGCACCCTGAGGCCAAAGCAGACAGTGAGGGGTAGTGCAGTCTGCAGGTCTCTCAGGGGTGGTGTTTGGGGCTGGAATCCCCTTCCAGGCAGTGTGACCTCTCGGGCTTTTCAGAGGCCATTGGAAGATGTTTCCTGTTGACGAACCTTTCTCTTCTTCCAGCTCCTGCTTTGTGTGCAGGGCCACCATCCTTCCACGTACTGGCTCTCGAGCCAGCTGCACACCACTGACTCAGCCTGGACCTGCTCTGGAGCCAGGGCCAGCTTCCCCATGGGGCCTGTCCCCATGTGCACAATCAACACTAGTACCAGCTCCACAGGCCTCCTCTGGATGGGCTGGGATTACAGAGGAGCTGCCTGGGGCGGAGATGGTTGACATCACCACCTTCTCCCCCAGGATGATGGCAGAGCAGCTCATACTCCTGGATGCGGTGAGCAGCCAGCTCTGCTGGGCAGGGCCAGGGCCACAGCGTTCCTGTGGCACCTGCCATCCCACACAAGCCCTGGTCAGAGTCCAGCGTTCTGAGTCAGCACAGGCTTCATGTCTCAGCCCCAGTGTGACCCGGGCTCATTTCTAATGTCCTAACCCACCTGTCCCCTGTGGACAGCAGAGATGGGACATACTCATGCCAGGTGCACAGAGCGACAGACAGAAAGCTGGGCATGGTGTGGCCCAGAGGTTGTGGAGGGCACTGAGGTGCAGGTGGCCCCCCATCCCCTGCCAGTCTGCCCAGAATGCCTTACCTGTCTCAGCACTGATTAGGCTTCAGAGTTGGACGGGGTCCCAGAGCAGACACACAAACAGAGCCCCTTGTTGTAGCTGCCACAGGGAGGTGTGCTGGGATGGGGACAAGGAGCACAGGGCTGATGGTAATTGGCCGAGGGATGGGGAGTTGGCCAGGATGCCTGGAGAAAACACCTCTGTTTCTTCTCTCCAAGAATGGGCTCTGGGCCATGAGGTTCTAGGCACCCTCAGTGGGCTGCTGCTCCCACCGCTGTGAGCCGCATGCACAGCATCCTGGGAGTGTGGGCACCAGTGCACTCTGAGTGGGGTTGGCTGTGCCCATGGGACACTCTCCTTCCCAGGTGCTGTTCCAGAAGGTAGTGCCCTTCCACTGCCTAGGCTCTAACTGGACCAAGTGCAACAAGAAAGGCAAGGCTTCCTGGCCTCCACTGTTCATGACACCATTAAGCAATTCAGCTGTGTGACAAATAGTGTAGTAGCCACATGCTTGGGGGACCCCAGCATGAAGGCCACAGACAGGGACCATGTAAGGTCAGCTGTGGGTGGCCAGGGCACTCACTGCACACTGGGAATGGCCACATTGCTTTATCAGCCCTCGGAAGTACAGCTTGTGGCTGAAGACCCTGCACAGACCCTGGGCCCTTCCTGGCAGGGAGGGGACTGACCTGACTCACTTCTCCCAGGGGTGCATGCTCACTTCTCACCTGAGCCTCCACGTGGGTTGAACCCAGTCCTCTCCCTGTGAGGGTGGCCACAGTTCCCTTGTGTGGCTCCGTGGGCCTCTGATGCAGGAGGAGGACATCAGCCCAGGGGGATCCAGGTGACCTCTCCCTCATCCTCTGTGCTCTGCGGTCCACCTCTCTTTACCATCTGAACGAGACATGAGGAAAAGTTTCAAGGTGGGTGCCTTTTCCCACAGGAGCTCCCGGGTGGACCTGGAACCCCAGAACTCAGCACTAATCCCTCATGACTCTGGGAAGGGCCAGTGGCCAGGGACTTGGGGACCAGACGTGGACCAGTTGGGGAGAGTAACTCTCTGCCTCCCTCGGTCCAAGGCCAGGCAGAATTTCTCACAAGGACATTTACTTAGTGTCAGGCACTGGCTCCTTTTTAAGATTTATGTATTTGTTTGAAAGTCAGAGTTATGGAGAAACAGGGATTGACAGAGAAATCTACCTGCTGGCTCACTCCCCAAATGGCCACAGTGGCTGGGCCAGGCCCAAGCCAGTGGCCTTCTCCATCTGGGCGCCCCTGTGCTCATATGGGATGCTGGCATCATAGCCATCAGCCTGACTCTCTGTGCCACAGCACTGGCCCAGGCCCAGGTTTTTAATGTGCCCACCTGTTCCTGCTCCTGGGCAGCACCGGAGCTCCTTGTGCAGGTGAACTTGAGGCAAAACAGTTCGCTCAGGCAAGGGAAGGGGCCCAGGTGACCAACTTCAGCTCCCAGCCTGTCACCTGGGCCCCAGGGCTCAGGGAACCCAGTGGGAAACTCACCTCCTTGCTCGCATCCTCCTTGCTCTCAAGGAAAGGGAGCTGCACTCACCACCCTCCCATCACACCAAGTAGCTCCTCCTGGTTTCCCATCTCCACAGGAAAAGCTACAAAAAAATTGAGCCCCTGTGTGAGAAGGACAATGGCTTGAGCAGGGATCTGCTCACCAAGGTAGGGGGGCTGGGAGGCGGGGTAAAAGTGTGGGGGGAGGGGGGGAGGGGTGGGGCTGCAGGGCCTGGGGCTGGGGTGGTGTTGGTTTCACTGAGAGTGCACTTGAAGAGTCCCTGCTATCCTGCTGGAGATGACAGCAGGAGAGAAGGCTGTGGCACAGGGGGTATGGGTCAGAGGGCACTGGAGAGGGCTGTGGTGAGGGCAGCTGGGCTGTCAGTGGGGGATGAAGCACCATGAGTGCTTCCATGCTGGAGCCCCAGCTGGCTGGCAGGACAGGCTCTGTGCCTGTGACCCCACCTGAGCTGTGTGGCAGAAGTGGCAGGAAGGGCTTCCCTCCTTCCATCGGGTGACCTCGGTTCCTCAGGAAGCCAGGCCCTGCCTCGGATCTGCCTGCTCAGGACCTGCATGGGGAAGGCCTCCCACCTGCACTGGGGAGGGAAAACCCAGCTCGGTAGTCCCAGGGCCTGTGGTCAATGGCTGCCCAGCATTGAATGCAGTGGGCACATGAGGGACAGATGCATCTGTGGCTGTGATGCCTGTGCTGCCCTGACTCACTGCCCATCACCCACGGTCCTGAGATTCTCACCCTGCCCAGGGTGATGACATCATCTCCAGGTGGATGAGGAGAAGCTCCTGGGGCCTCCTCATGTATGCCTGGTGGCCCTGTCCTGACCACATCACAGCACCTTCCACCTAAGGGAGGAAGCAAAGTGTTGCCACCCAGAGTCTGTGCAGGCCTTGCCTGTCACTCAGAGGTGATCCCTGGGGACCACTCCCTGAGTGGCAGGGGAGATGTGCAGCAGAAGCTGTGGTTCGTCCTCAACCCTGCTTGGGTTGGGGAGCACCCAGTGGAGCTGGGTGGCCAGGACCTGTCAGCCAGGCCTCATGAGACCACCTGGCCCTCTCCTTCCATGGTTGGGCCTGGCTGGGGACCAGGACACACAGAAGCCAGATGGGTTCCTGGCCAGGGAGGCAGCTGGGGGTGGGGTGAAGCAGTGTGGTACAGGTCAGCTGGGGGCGGGACAGGCTCTCCTGTATGGCCCTGGGCTGGTCACTGCTAGTCTTTGGCCTCTGATTTCTGAAGTAGAGGATGGGGCTGATGAGTCTGTTGTGGAGGGCTCACAGGGGTTGGTGAGGTACCAGGAAGTGTGATGTGTGGAGCAGGGCCTGGCCTTCCTCCCAGGGGGACAGTGAGGAGGAGGAGGGCAGGCGTAGGATGCTGAGTCAGGACAGCTGTGAGGTGGGGGTGACCAGCATCCTCGCCAGCCAAGGAGTAGACTCTGGGAGGCCGCTTGCTCAAGGTGCCGCCAGTGAGAGTGGGAGCCACAGCATCCAGAGTGCACTTGGGGGAGGGGGTCATACATGCAGGGCTCCAGCAGAGGTGTGGGCAGGGGTGGGAAGGACAGGCCCTATGACCCTGACCCTGACCCTGGCAGAAGGCAGCCTGCAAGCTAGCTGCCCCGGAGAACCCGCAGAGAGCCCAGATGAGGCAGTGGAAACAACAGAAAGTGTGTGTGCCCGGGTGAGGGGACTCCTCCATCACATCGGGGCCCAAGCCACAGGAGCAGGGTTTCCACCTCCAGCCCTCCCTGCAGTCCCCACACTGCCTTAGTGTCCTCCACTGGAGAGACCAGAGCCAGGGCCTGGAGCAGCTGGGCTCACAGTAGACTTGGGGCTGAGGTGGTGCTGGGAGCCACACAACTGGAGTGCCCTTGGAATTCCTACCAGGAGTCCTAGGGGTGCCTGCTGTCCTGGGAGCAGGTGGGAGGATGGAGAATGGGGGAGGAAGCCTAGGGTCCTGGATGGCTCCCAAGGGGAAACATGAACCAGGGTAAAGGAGCTGGGGTGGAGGGGTCTCTGGGGCCAGGGCTTGGGTGGCACCTGAGAGCAGGTGCTCACCACCACCCGCTGTGGCACAGGGTGTTGTCCCCTTCCTTGGCACCTACCTGACAGACCTGGTGATACTGCACATTGCGATGGGGGACTCTGGGGCAGGCGGGGCACTCACCCTGAAGGGGGGGAGGAAGAGCCTGGCTTGAGGACCTCATGAGAGGGGAGGGTTGGGGCTGGGCCCCGGCTGGGGGTGGTTCTGATTGACTCTGCCTTCCAGTGGGCTGACATCAGCTTTCAGAAACTGAATAAGGTGAGCAGCTGTGGCCTCAGGGCAGGAAGGGACAGGGGGTCACAGGTGGCCCCAGTCAGTACCCCCATGCATCACCCCTGCAGCTTTGCTCTATTAGGAGGGCTGGGTGCACACAGAGTGGGGAGACCCATCCCTAGGGTGGGTGCAGATAGAGGACTGGAATCAAGGAGAAGCCCCTGGGGAGGGGCTGTTTGGACCCCAGACAGAGGCCAGGGTGGGGCCTGCATGGGCTGGAGTGGAGGAGGCCTCTTAAGTGGAAACACCCAGAACCCTGCAGCCCCTCCCCTACAAGGTCCCCACAGCATTCCCAGCCCAGGCCCTGACAGTGTCCTGTGTGTCCCTCCATCCCCAAGAAATTAAAGTCCTTCAAGAAATCCAGCTGCTGCATGTGGCAGCAAGCAATTATTATTTTAAGCGTGATGAGGAGTTCGGCGTGTGGTTCCGGTCCATGGAGTATCTCACGGAGAGCGAGAGGTGAGTGATGGGCAGGAATTAGGTGAAGTTAGGGTGGGGTGGGGGTGGGGGTGGGGAGCATCATCCAGGCCCCCTGGTGGGCAGCAGGCCCTGTCCCGTGGGCACTGCTGGCCCCCAGGACTGCAGCTCCTGGGCAGGCCCTGGGAGGGAGGCCTGAGCTGAGGCTCTTGGTGGACTCATGGCTGTGCTCTGTGCATTAGCTATACCCTGTCCTGCCAGCTGGAGCCCTCTGCCAAGAGGCCCGCAGCAGCCTCAAGGCCACGAACACCATCGTGATGTCCTCGTGACTGAGTGCTGGGACCTCAGGGGCAGATCTGAGCTCATTGTGAGCCTGGTGCCTGGGACAGCGGCCTCCCTGCTGTGAAGCTGAGGCCTGCATTGTATCAGTTTAATGTGTCCCTCTTATTTTTTCTCTTTTCCTCCTATTTAACTATAGTCACTGTTAGTAGTTCCCTATTAGAGTTTTATTAAAGTTAATATAAATATGTTGCACCATGAATTTCATTCTTCCTCATCATTGCTTCCCCATAACTGAGGTTTTGAGTGGGTGTTCCACACATGCAAATGCGCTGTGGGCATGGGCTCTTCCTAGTTTGTGGCTCCTGGAGCTGCACCTCACTGGCTGAAGTTCCCTGAGGTTCTTCTCCTAAGAGGAGCAGGCAGATCATTTGGTGACTGGTGTAAAAATACTGCCTGACTCCTCTTGCACTTTCTCCCATGGGTTTAGGATGTTGGCTCCAGCCTGGCCTGGTCTGGCTGTGGTGAGCATATGGGAGGTGAACCAGCAGATGGAAGATCTCTCTTTATGTTTATCTTCCAAATAAATAAAAGAGGGGCTGGTGCTGTGACTTAGCGGGTAAAGTTGCTACCTGCAGTGCTAGCATCAGGGGTGTGTTCGAGTCCTGGCTGCTCTCCTTCTGATCTGGTTCTCTGCTATGGCCTGGGAGAGCAGTGGAGGATGGCCCCAGTCCTTGGGCCCCTGCACCCACATGGGAGACCCAGAAGAAACTCTGGCTCCTGGCATCCGATCAGCTCAGCTCCAGCCATTGTGGCCATTTAGGGAGTGAACCAGTGGATGGAAGATCTCCCTCTCTTTCGGCCTCTAACTCTAGCTTTCAAATAAATAAACAAATCTTTAAAAAATAATAAAAAATAAAAAGCATTTTAGATGGAATGTAAAAATACTACAACAATGTCAAAATGCTTTATCATAAAAGTCTGATTTCATCATCATTTAAAAAATCATCTATTATTTTTCACTTTATGTTTCTGTGTGGGAGCAAACTGTTGAAATCTTTACTTAATGTATGCTAAACTGATCTTCTGTATATAAAGAGAATCTAAAATGAATCTTGATGTGATTGGAAGGGGAGAGGGAGAGGGAAAGGGGAGGGTTGCGGGTGGGAGGCACGTTATGGGGGGGAAGCCATTGTAATCCATAAGCCGTATTTTGGAAATTTATATTCATTAAATGAAAGTTAAAAAATTAAAAAAAAAAAACTATAGGCACATTTCAAAAAC